GGGGACATTAGAGTGTAAGCTCCTCTGTACAGAGACTGATGTGACTGTGGGGGGGAGGGGACATTAGAGTGTAAGCTCCTCTGTACAGGGACTGATGTGACTGTGGGGGGGAGGGGACATTAGAGTGTAAGCTCCTCTGTACAGGGACTGATGTGACTGTGGGGGGGAGGGGACATTAGAGTGTAAGCTCCTCTGTACAGGGACTGATGTGACTGTGGGGGGGAGGGGACATTAGAGTGTAAGCTCCTCTGTACAGCGCAGCGGTATATGTCGGTGATATATACATGAATGTCTTGCACGCACAGGCTGGGTTCCCCATGTCTGATATCTCTGTGTCCCCTCTGTGTCCCCTCTTAGGGCCCCGGACCCGGAAACTGAAGAAGAAGAAGAATGAGAAGGAGGATAAGAGGCCCCGCACGGCCTTCACCGCGGAGCAGCTTGCGCGCCTGAAGAGCGAGTTCCAGGCCAATCGGTACATCACGGAGCAGAGGCGGCAGACCTTGGCCCAAGAGCTGAACCTCAACGAGTCCCAGATTAAGATCTGGTTCCAGAATAAGCGGGCCAAGATTAAGAAGGCTTCCGGCCTGAAAAACGGACTGGCCCTCCACCTGATGGCCCAGGGACTGTACAACCATTCCACCACCACGGTGCAGGAGAAGGAGGAGAGTGACTGAGGCCCCATATACATATATACTTCTATATATCTACGTCACAGAGCCCCCTGTATAGAGTTCTATCAGGTAAGGACACCGGGACCATCCGCCCCTCCTCCACCCTCTGAAGTTCTTTCCTATCGATAGCCCCCTATCAATCTGTATTGCCCTCCAGCTCCATCCATAGCTTCTCAATCACCTGCTGTGCCACACAGCCCCCTTCCTAGCACCCCATCCACATGCAGTGCCCCTTGGACACCTTCAGTGGGTCACTGTAAGTGGCTGGGGGGGGAGGGCGGGGCAATGCTGCCTTTTACTGCACCCCACAATCATATACCAACGAACCCCGATCCGGATCTGTGCAATATACTGAGACGATTTTCATCCAAAATCTCCCCACATGACACCCCACCAACTCCCCTCCCCCTACATAAGGGGAGGGAATCATACATGATTCATTGATCGTACGATCTCCTAATATCGGAGGCTGACATGGAGTTATTATCGCCCTGGATGTTTGATAATTATCGGGGCGATGCATTGTGTGTGTGTCCCAAGATTAAATCGTACAGCTCGACCGCATGTGTGCCGAAATACCAACCTGTAATAACCTATATTTATGGTGTATCGTTATATAAATGTCTGTGCGAGATATGTATGTATATACTGCTACGTCACAGGCGGCCATAAATGTACCGACGGGAATGCGATCTTAGTAAATATCGATGAGAGAAAATTCACATTTTATTTGGGATGTTTGTTGTGCAGATTGAGGAGATCGGATCGTCCGTGTTCTGATTATCGATTGATTTGTATTAATATCGTCTGTGTCATCGGGTGATGATATTAGCGGGCGGTGATATTAGCGGGCGGTGTTACTAGCGGGCGGTGATATTAGCGGGCGGTATTATTAGCCGGCGGGGGTATTAGCGGGCGGTATTATTAGTGATGATATTAGCGGGCGGTATTATTAGCAGGCGGTGATATTAGCGGGCGGTATTATTAGCAGGCGGTGATATTAGCGGGCGGTATTATTAGCGGGTGATGATATTAGCGGGCGGTATTATTAGCGGGCGGTATTATTAGCGGGCGGTGATATTAGCGGGCGGTGATGAGAATTATTATTCGGCCATTTCTCTGGATTTATCTTTTAGCGATTATAACGAATTTCCTCCCAGATTATTATTGTGTGCGACCTAGACCGTGGCGGAGTACTGCCGGCTCTATAATACAGATGGAGAGGGGGAGCTAAAACACCCCAAATACCCGGATATAGAACGACTGCCCCCCTCCCCCAACT